ATCAAATGAACAAAAAGGCATCCTACAGTATGGGAGAATATATGCATAAATGACTTATGTGATAAGGGATTAACATCCAAAATATGTAAAGAGCTCACATGCCTCAGTACCCAAAAAACAAATAACCCAAATAAATGGGCAGAGGATCTGAACAGACATTTTACCAAAGAAGAAATTCAGATAGCCAACAGGCACATGGAAAGATGTTCCACATCACTAATTATCAGGGAAATGTAAATTAAAACTACAATGAGATAGCACCTCACACTAGTTAGGATGGCCAGCACTGAAAAAACTAAGAACAACAAATGCTGTCAAGGATATGGAGAAATGTGAATCCTCTTACACTGTTGGTGGGAATGTAAGTTCAACCACTGTGGAAAGCAATACGGAGGTTCCTCAAAAATCTTAAAATAGAAATACCATTTGACCCAGGAATTCCACTCCTGGGAATTTACTCAAAGGAAACAAGATCTCAGATTCAAAAAGATATATGCACCCCCGTGTTTATCACAGCACTATTTACAATAGCCAAGATATGGAAGCAACCTAAGTATCCATCAATAGATGAATGGATAAAGAAGACATGGTACATATACACAATGGAATATTATTCAGCTATAAAAGGAAAAAAAATCCTACCATTTGCAACAATGTGGATGGAGCTAGAGGGTATTATGCTTAGTGAAATAAACCATGCGTAGAAAGATAAGTACCAAATGATTTCCCTCATTTGTGAAGTATAACAACAAAGTAAAACTGAAGGAACAAAACAGCAGCAGACTCAGACTCCAGAAAGGACTAGCGGTTACCAAAGGGAAGGAGCTGGGGAGGGTGTGTGGAGAGGAAGAGAGAAGAGGATTAAGGGGCATTATAATTAGCACACACAACATAGGTAGGCCATAGGGAAGACAGTATAGCACAGAGAAGACAACTAATGACTCTATAGCATCCTCCTACACTGATGAACAGTGATTGCAGTGGGGTTGGGGGAGCACTTGATAATACGGGTGAATGTTGAAACCACAACATTGTTCACATGAAACCTTCATAAGATTGTATCTCAATGGTATCTTAATTTAAAAAATTAAAAAATAGTAACATAGGTTACTGCAATTATGTACTGCTTAATAATTTTAAAAATCCAGTGAAGTACTGTGATATATACTAATGTTAAGTATACACTACAGTAAAGTATGTTTTGAAAGTATATTTAGTAACTAACCTGCCCAGGCCCTCATCAAAACCAGAGCAACAAGTAGTGTCAAAGAATTTGAAAAGAAAATCTTCATATGCTGATAATGAACACTAGAATATTTCCATTATCAAACCACTCATTCCATCCAGACAGAGTTTCCCAACCCACAGGCATGATAAACTGACAGAAGACAGATGCTAATTCTTTTCTGTTTAGTTGATATCTCACTAGTTCACCAGACCACCATGGTAGTTCTCCAGTTCCCTCCCCTGTTAAATACAGGCCAGATTATCTGTGAGCTCCCACAGGCAGTAACGTCTTGCAACAATGCCTGTATTCCCTGGGCTCTCTCTCGGTCAGAGCTCTTTAGCTTCCAGGGCTCTTTAGCTTTACCTACTTTATATTCTCAGAGCTAAAAGTCATCTTAAGGAATCTCCTTTAGGGCCAGGGCAGGTCATCTCAATGACTGAAGAAAATCAATGAAATGAGTTAGGCCACTATATAGAACAAAATTTTCTTATGATGGGAAATAAAGAAATAAGGGGTTTTGCTCACTAGCTTATTTTAGCTTCTATTTGTGAAGACCATACCCTACTCAATGCCTACTTTCCTTCGCATCTAATGGAAGCATCATTTTTTAAAGGAAGTCTCCTTAGTCCTCCGTAACTAGGTTAAATCCCTCTTACATAAGTTTTCATGGTCCAGTATAGCTCTCCTACTTAGCATTTATCAATCACAGTTACAATTTTACTATTATTTGCATGACTATTTGATTAATGTTTGTCTCTCCCTCTAAACTCTAAGCTTCATTAAAGTAAATACCACTTCTTTTTTAAACCATCTCATTCCAAGTTACAATTAAATTTAAAATCTTAAAATCTACAGTCCTTAAAATCATGTTAACTTTTCCCATGTTAAGAAAAAGTAAGATTTTTTTCTCTCAAAGCAACAAACAAAAAACAAAGCTAACTCTAATGGAGTGACACATACTCAATAGAGAAACAACTGTGGCCAACATGCAGCCTGGCAAGAAAGGAGCAAAGAGGGTAAGACCACTCCCTGTCTCATCTTCCATTCTCTGATCTCTGGCCTGATCTCTGATATCTCTGATTGCAGTCTCCCATTGGCAAAAGAATCTGCTTAACGAGTTGCACAGAGGTAAGCCTCCCAGAGCACAGAAGGTGAAAAAGAGTGGAAAGCAGACTTAAGGGCGCAGGGAAGACCTAGCGCAAGTCCCTACCAATATGTCACAGACTCGTAGAGCTGATGAAATAAGATAACTCACATGAAGGTGTCCAGCACAATGTCTGCCACTCAGTATGTGAATTCCCAATCTGCCATAGTTTCACCGGCCTTCCTGTTACCAAGAGTAAAATGAGAAAGTTGAACTCACAGAGAACTCCATGGTTCCATCAAATCTAATTTCTACAACTATACCCCAACTCTTCTTACTTTGGAAAATAGAAACCTGATTTCAGGGAAGTTCTTCCTTGTGATTAAACAGAAAAGAAGTCCTTCAGAATAACTTCACTTTTTTAAAGTCATCCTTTAAAGCACAAAAGGTTTTAATTTTGGTGATGTCCAATTTACCTATTTTTTCTTTTGCTCAGGTTTTTGATATACCTAAGAAAGCTTTGTCTAACCCAAGGTCATGAAAATTTACTCCTATATTTTCTTCAAAAGTTTTATAGGTTTTATAGCTCTAATGTCTAGTTCTATAATATTATGATCTGTCCTTCCTATATTTAGAAAACCGCTATTTAATGCAAATATTCTAATTATAATTTAAAAAATAATCTCATTGCCCTCCTTTATAAAGGTCTCAGATTTTCTTCCCTAAAGAGTTAAATGGGAGCTTAAAATAAAGTTTCCATGAATTTCACTTCCCTTGGGCTCTTAGATGACATATTTTAAAGTATATACATCTTCACACTGTGTTTTTTATTTACAGAACATTATTTTCTTTCCCCTTAGAAATCTAAAGCTGTATCAGGGAACTCATGCTTAGGTCCTGCAGTAAGAACTATAAGAGAATAGCATGTCCAATAAAATGACCTCTTGTGTGTTTAGCAATTCACAGTTTACACAGGACCCAAAAGAAACATTTCCTGACCCTATGAGGTTTCTGAGAAATATCAGCACCTGATATTAACCAAGCCAAAACAGGGCATCCCAGCTGACCACAAACCATGTTGACCAAAGCCTTGAATAGCCTGACACCTGAAAAGTCCACTACCAAATGATATCCAAAATTCTTGGCTTGATCATTAAATATAGCAATGGACATCCAGTAATGTTTTCAGCTAGTAAACCCATAAGATGAAGTGATTACTTGCTCTTTTTCCTCAAATATAAATAATTTATGGTAGGTGTGGTATCTAAAACATTTAGAATGCTTTTTTTTTTTAAATAGACCTTTTGAATTTTTTGGTAGGTTGACTAATGATTCCCCACCCCAAGATAATCTCTGAAGCCTGTAAATTCTACCTTATAAGGAAAAGGGTTCTTTATAGATGTGATTAGGATCTTGAGATGGAGAGATTATCCTGGATTATTCTGGTGAGCCCTAAATGCAATCACATGTATTGTTACATGAGCAGACACATACATACAGACAAAGAAGAGAAAGAAGAAATGTAACCACAGAGGTAGAGATTGGGATGATAACAGCTACAAACCAAGGAATGCTGGCAGCCACCAACAGCTGCCAGCTGTTGGAAGGAAAGGTGAGGAATGAATTTTCTCTGAGAGCCTCAGGAGTGAGGATAGCCCAGCCAACATCAGTGAAAGTGATTTCAGCCCAGTGAAGCTGATGTAGGACTTCTGGCTTCCAAAACTGCAAGAGAATAAAACTCTGTTGTTTTTAAGCCACCTAGTTTGTGGTAAATTCTTACAGGAGCCTTAAGAAATGAATATAGGTTTCTTCTGCATCCCCATCATTTTTCTTTTCCTTTTTTTTCTTAAATAAAACAGCTTTACTGAGATATAATTCACATACCGTACAATTCATCCATAAAGTATACAATTCAATGGTTTTAGGGTATTCACAGAAGAGTATTAAGCTTTAAGCTTCAGCAAAAATTGAACATGTGGACTTCAAAGCTAGCAAAAATGGATTAAGCTACTAAAGCCTCTCTCTCCCAATAATCAAAACAAACAGCTTCAGAAAAAAATTAAAAAGGAAGTACCTAACAACTCTGAAGAGAAACAATAGCAGTTATAAACAAAAGACAGTTTGCAGACTGAAGTAAAAACTTGAAGGATACCATTCTTGTACTGTGAAGATTCCTGTTTTTTCTTTTTTCATTTATTTACCTTCTCAATTTATCAAGAAGGTGGCACAAACTGGGGAAGGAGTTTAGCAATGTCACAGGATACAGGGTAAATATAGAAAATCAAATGTGTTTCCATATACTAGCAAGGAAGCACTGGAAATTAAAATGATATATAATATATGTCATTTATAAGAGTACCAAAAATTACTTAGGTATAATTGTACACAATTATACTCAGGATATGTTTGCTGAAAACCACAAAATGCTGATGCAAGAAATCAAAAAAGACCTCAATTAATGTTCATGGGTTGAAAGACTCAATATTGGTAAAATGTCATTTCTCACCAGATTGGTCTATACATTCAACACAATTCCAACATCCCAGAATGATTTTCTATTCATATAGACAAGCAGATTCTAAAATTTAAATGAGAGGGTAAAGTATTTAGAATAGCAAAAGTAGTTTTGAAAAAAAGAGAACAAAATTGGAGAACTCATACTACCTAATTTGAAGACTTTTAAAGCTGAAGCAATTAAGATACAGTATTTCTGAAAAGACAGAAACAAGTAAATGGAACTGAGAGCCAGAAACAAACTAAGATAAATATGACCAATTGATTTTTTGACAAGGGTTCAAAGACAATTCAATGGAGAAATCATAGTGTTTTTTTTTCAACAAATGGTTCTGAAACAACTGGACATCATATGCAGAATGAACCTTGACCTAAAATCCATTTCTTATGCAAAAATTAAGTCAAAATGGATCGTATACCTAAAGGTAAAACCTGAAACAAACTTTTAAAAGAAAACACAGGACAAAATCTTTGTACCTTTGGTTAGGCAACAAACTCTATATTCAAAATCAAAAGCAAAATTCATTTTTAAAAATTGATAAATTGGACTTCATCAAAATTTAAAACTTTGGCTTTGTAGAAGACACTGTTAAGAGGATGAAAACACACAACAGACTGGGAGACGATCTTTCCGTATCACATTTGACAAAGAATTTCTATCTAGAATATATAAAGAACTCAAAAAATTCAACAATAGGAAAATGACCCTACTTTTAAAAATGGAAAAATTTGAACAGAAATTTCACCAAAGAAGAAATGAGGATGGCAAACATTAATATTAAAAGTTGCTCACCATCACTGACCATCAGGGAATTAATTATAAATTAAGGCTTCAATGAATATCATGACCTAGCAATTTCACTTGTAGATATTTATCCAGGTCAAATAAAAACTTATGTTAATGTACATGAAACGTTATAGCAGAATTGCTGATAATTCCCAAAACTGAAAACAACCCAAATGTCTCTCAACTGAAGAACAAATAAATATATGGTGGTACATCCATATAAGTGAATTCTACTCAATGAAAAAAGCAACAAACTATTTATACACATAATAACATGGGTGAATCTCAAGTGCATTTTTCGAAGTGGAAGAAGCCAGATTTTAAAAGCTACACACTATTTGGTTCTATGTATATGACATTCTGGAAAAGGCACAGCTATAGACATGGAGAACAAATCAGTGGTTGCCAGGAGTTAAGGGACAAGGCATCGTGAAAAGCATGTGTTCTTTTGTTTTATCTCAAACAAAGCCTGATGCAACAAAGCAGTTTCCACGGTAATTAAACTTTTTATTCAACATCATGACAACTATAAAAATGCATAGTTAAATGAGGTAGAAAGCATATATGCCAGGACTAAATCAGGCCTCTAGACAAATGACTAGTCACTTAAAAAAAGAATTTCTTTATCTTCAAAGTTAATCTCACAATCTTGCTTTCACCTTTGCAATGGTGAGAAACTAAAGGATGGCCTTTCTCTAGCTATCATGTGTCACTGAATACATACTGGAGAGGAGAAAGGTCATCCAAAACACCTGGTGGTAAAGGGGTCCCACTACCTATGTCTGACCACTGTGCATGTGTATATATGCATGTTTGGGAGAGGGTAATAGTTAGAGATGAATAGTTACTGGGTTAATAAGCACTACTCTGTTTGCCTCTAAGAGACTGCAAAGGAGTCACATAATCAAAGGACTTGGCACTAGAGAGAATCTCAGAAGCCATTTAATTCAACTTCTTGTTTCAGAGATGATAAAGAGCTAGCCCAGACAGTGATAGCACAACTGGGTCACAGCAGAGACAGAACTAAAATCACAATCTTCTGACCCTTCTGACCCTTAATACCATAACCATGGCCTCCTTCAGGGGCATGTGAGCTGTGGAATCTCATAGGGCCTCACACTCAGAAAGGCCTTGCTCTTAGCTTAGTTTAATGCTCTGCTGTTCCCCTTATCTTGAAGTTCTTAGTAATTTTCAAACAAAGGGTCCTGTATTTTCATTTTACACTGGTCCCCACAAATAATGCCACTGATTATGACCTCATCTTCTCCCTCTCAAAGATTGTCTCATAGAAAGAAAACTTCATATTCTAGCCAATACAATGAAGAGATATTCAAGAAATAGGGAAATTTGAAACAAAAACTGGCAGAATTTATAAAGAAAAAAGTTTAAGCACCCAAGAGAACACCAATCTACATAGGACTGGTACATAAGGAAGAGAAAATCTCAACAAATTGTACTCTAGCTTAACACAACCTAGGGAATCATTAATAGCAGTGGTAAGTGGGAGGGTGGGGAGGATTTATAAAGAAAAAAGTTTAAGCACCCAAGAGAACACCAATCTACATAGGACTGGTACATAAGGAAGAGAAAATCTCAACAAATTGTACTCTAGCTTAACACAACCTAGGGAATCATTAATAGCAGTGGTAAGTGGGAGGGTGGGGGGCACATTCAACCTATGTCTGTAATTCACCTGAATGTTCTCTTACCAACCAGGCCTTAACAGACCTGATTTGTCTTCTCATGTTGGAGTTGCAGGGGAAAAAAAAAATCTCTAGAAAGGATGTTATCAGGAGGTGTTTACATATTGGCATACACACAGATTATTTGCCACTGGGGAATACGGGGACAAGTAATTGTTAGAAATGTTACATCAGGAAATAATGCCAATAAGAACACTGGGGAAGCCTGTTCTTTTGTCCATTACTGTTGTTAGAGGTAT